CTAAGCCAGTACCTAAGACTGGATCTCCCTGTATGATACTTTTCTGGGTCAGAATTGGAATTAGGGGCTTTTGGAGTTTAGGTAGGCAACCTAAGGAGATTTGGAAATAGGTTTCCAAATTTCTGATGTCTTACAGATGCAGGAGATACACGCTTACAACCTCATGTTATCACCATGTTGTGGTGTGTCTGGACAGGTCACTTAACCTCTCCGAAGCTTGATTTCCTCTCTAAATGAATAAAAATACATACTCTTGAAAGTTCCTTTGAACTCTGCAATTCTCTACATATAATAGACATAAGTTTTTTAAAAACCAAGAATCCTTGTTGTTGTTAAGTGCTATTGAGTCATTTCTGACCCACAGTGACCCTGTATAGGGTTTCCAAGGAGCAACTGGTGAGTTTGAACCGCCAACCTTGCAGTTCAAACTGTTTTGCAGTCTGGCATATTAACTCACAGCGCCACACCAGGACTGAATCCTTAGGATACGATTATTTGAAGTGTTTTCTAGAATCTATCCCATAGGTTTGGAGGATATCTCCTAGAGTTATTTTCCCCTTAAATAAAAAATAAGTACAAGCTCCTGTAATTCAAACTATAGGCAGCCCCCAGGTTATGAATGTCCAATTTTTTAATAACGTCTGCTTGCCTTGAAGCAGGACTTTGAACTGCTTTGAATCATCTCTCTGTTCACATTCTACAAATTGAAACAGGAACAGACCTGAAGCTTTACAAATTTGGATGATTCATCACTGTGACTGACATGGGAAAACTTAGGGGTCAAAGACCTGGAATGAGGAACTCAAAAGAGGCCTCATTTGAGTGAGCCTGATGCATGAGCTCGGGTACTGGCAGTATGGTGGGGAGCGTCACCACTCAACATCATCATCATCATCTCTGGTCCATTGAGTGTGACAATATTATTATAAAAACCTGTATTACTTGATTTTTCAGAAAATACTCTAGGATTTTGCAGGGCTTTAATCCTAACTTTGGACTTTGATTATCGTTATATAAGGTAGCGGTGAAGCAGAAATAGGTTGTTGAACTTAAATGAACCACGTATTTGTAGATCTAGCCAGTTGCTTTTGACAGTTCATGATAAATTTGTTTATAGATAATCTGTGTTCATAATAGAGTACTTGAGGAAATTTTTTTTTTTAATTCCGTTATAAGTTTTTCACAATTTGATTAACAACAGCAAAAACAAAAATGTTTGTGTTTGAAGATAACTGTCTGTAAATGAGAATATTTATGTGTAACTAATATAAGGAACTCTGGTAGTGGTTATGAATCAGGCTGCTAATCTCAAAGTTGGCAGTTCAAAACTACCAGCTGTTCCACAAGAGAAAGATCAGGCTTTCTGCTCCCGTAAAGATTTACAGCCTCAGAAACCCTGTGAAGGGTCACTTTTGAGTCGGAACCAACTCCACGGCACATCACCACCAATATTAGCAAAGTGGTTCAGTGGTATGATCTTGTCTGTCATGCACGAAACCTGGCTTCGACTCCAGGCATATGCCTCTTATATACAGCCACCACCCAGTTGTGTGTAACTATGTTGTTAAACAGGAGTCCTGGTGTGGCACTATAGGATAAACACTAGACTGCTAAATGCAGGTCGGTGATTCAAACCCACCCACGTTTCCTTGAAGGCACTATACCGGGTCACTATGAGTTGGAACCAATTCAATGGCACTTAGCAACAACAACAACAAATGATGCTTAACAGGGTTCAGCAGTTTCCCAACTAAGACTGTTAAGAAAGGCCTGGTGATCTGCTTCCAAAAATCAGCCAGAGAAAACGCTATGGATCACAACAGTCTAATTCACAGGAATGGGCAGTATTTCATTCTGTTGTGCATGGACTAACTCAGCAGCACCTAACAACATCAGTAATAAATTCCAACTGCTGACCTTGAGGTTAGCAACCCGACTCGTAACCACTACTCTACCAGTAAAACAATAGTGTACATATAAAAATTGCTCTTTTCTTTACAACTACAGTCAGTATTTTTAGCACTTGTCATAAAGTCAGTTCTGCTTAAAGACTTTGCATGGTGTACAGGAAATGGTTTGCACTAGGAATCAAGAAACCTGGATTCTGCTTTGCAGTATACAACTTTTAGCAAGAAAGTTGACATCTACATACCTTGTTTTCTTCATCTGGAAATAAGTAGTAGATGGGGCTTGATGCTGTATAAATGTCCTGTACAATTCTCAATTAAACATACACAACACATACCTTTGAAATGCAGACATTACATGGATGAGAGGCGAAAAATAGATCATTATATGTGGAATTAAACCAATTAGGAGACATAGGTCTATGAAACATTAAGAATCTTGTAAAGAAATGTGTGGAATGGTCTAACTACGAGCTGTTAAAGATAGAGCGGAGTTTTACCTGAAGGGATGATTGATTTGCCCTGATCAATCTTTGTTTTTTTCATGGTCACCTTTGTTTGTGAGATGGTTAGCAGTACAATTTGTCCATGGAACAGAGTGAAACTTACGTACACAGATGTGAAATTCATGACCTTAGGACTGTGCACTGCACCCTGAAGTAACCATTCATAGACTAGATGGCTTACATAAATTCTAGGGAAAAGTACAAATTAAGTGAAAGATAGTGTAGAAAGGCATTAAGAGAGTTCTTTTGTGGAAAAGACAGGGAAGCTCTTTCAGAAAGCTTTGGATTAGTATAAAGGAGAAAGGCAAGTTTGATAATGCAAAGCAGAATGAGTGATGATCCGTAGAGTGGGCATTATCTATACCCTTCAAAATAATTGACAAGGTATGCCACATCCTTCAAATCTTCATAATCACTATGTACTGAGATCACTATTGTCAGTTACCAATGTCTTCCTTATTGTCAAACCCAATGTTCACTTCTTTGTTGATAGTCTATTAAACCTTACCAGTGTTTGATAGGCCCTTGTAACGTTTTTCTTTCTCTTGGTTCCCATTATATCACACTTAGTTTTCCTCTTAGCTCACCGGCTTGTTCTTTTGCTAATTCATCTTCTACCAGATTATTGCTTATCTCTCATAGTGCCCCCAAGGCCCTGCCCTCGGTTCCCTTCTCTCTGCTACGTATTCTGTTATTGTTAAGTGCCGTGGAGTCATAGCAACTCTGTAAATGGTTTCCAAGGAGCGACTGGTATGTTTGAACTGTCGACCTGCAGTTAGCAGTCTACTACTGTAAAAGACAGAACGTGTTGTAGTTAAGGGCACAGAATCTTGAAGCCAGATTGTCTGCGTTCGAATCCCATCTGTGGTACTTTGAACAACTTACTTGGACAATTTACTGATCTATAATAGAGTGGTAATTGTGTCTGCCTTCTAGATCTGCTCTGAGGATTAAATAAATTAATGTATACCACACACTAGAATTAATAATAACTCTTAATGGTAAGTTGATATTTCAGTATTGGCTATTGTTTTATGTTATAAATGGTTCTGGTGTGGCAGTGTAGGTAAGTACTTGGATGCAAAGTTGGTTGCAATCACCAGGTCAGTAGTTCAGACTCACCAGCCACTCCATAGAAACCCTATGGAGTCACCGTGAGTCAGAACCGACTCAGTGACACTTCACAACAACAATAACAAAACGGTCACTTTAGGGAATATTTCTCAATGGTTTTCTTAAAATACCAATGAAGTTGGTTCTCAAGACTCATTCTTTTCCTGAGAAGCATTTCTGAGTCTAGAAATAAGCGTGTTTGTTTGTTTGTTTGTTCCCCATTAAACCGTTCAAGGAAATACACGGTCTGGCTCCAGCTCTCCCTTTTTCACTTTCTCTATATTACATTCAAGCTCGAGCATTCCTTAAGTATTGCTTTTCACATCACCATTTTGGTCATACTGTTTACTTCATTTGGAATGGCCACTTGTCCTTATTAGTCATATGTATCACTGCTTGACATCTTCCCCTTTTCACAAACTCATTATTGTGTGAACGTAGTGTGAATTTATTATATGCTGCATTAAAACAATCACAAGGTCTTTAAGACTAGGAATGTGAGCCGCACACCTCTTTTGGTCCACCACATAATGCAGCGTAGTAGGCACTTGTAATGTTTGTTACTTGATTAACAGAGAAAGAGAAATCAACCTTTTCAGGATTGTACATGTTCAATTTGTGTAACAGGCAACAACTTTGCAAATTAGCTGTTTAAAACAGAACCCTTATGAGGAATTTTTAAATGACCACAACTAATGAAAACATAACACAAGTTGGATTCTTTGGAATTGCTTAGTAACTAATACCATAATCACTAGGCTAAAACAGTGGTCTCTACAGTAACAGTTGTGAGGATGGTGTGGGACCAGGCGGTGTTTTATTCTGTTGTGTATAAGGTTGCTATGAGCCAGAACCAACTTGACAACACTTAACCAAAACAACTCCTGCTGAATGATTTTAACATTGTCTCTCTCTGCAGGTATTACTGCTGTATTACAAAGACTGAGGGGACCCCATGGTTCTGAGTATCGTATCACAGAGTTAGGGCCCTGAGGACCAGACACTCAAGAAGGGAGGAAGGAAAACATGTAGTAGAGTCTGCATCTCTATTATTTCACAACAGCAAAAACACATAATCAAAGTAGTTTAACATGTTGGCTATTGGTGATATTTCATGTGCTTTTCTTTTAAAAAAAAAAGAACTAAAGCAGTTATTGTATTTGGCATCAAAATATAATTATCAATAAGATTTGAAATGGATCCCTAAATTTTAGATGACATTTTAACCAAACCCTAAAAATTTTCTGCCTTGATGTTAACCAGCTTTTTCTTTATTGGAATTTGGAGTTATCAATCATCTCCTCGCATCTCTGTACGTTGTGAATCCGAGTTTATTGTGATTGCCTCATTTTTGGTCTCTTTTCACTCTGTTAGTGAAAATACCTGCATATGAAATGTGAGATTAGATATTATAGGTGTAAAAGAATACGTTAAAGTGAGTAATGTTCTTCTTTTTTATTTTTTTCAATACTAGATACTCTAGATGAATATTTTGAATATGACGCAGAGGAGTTCTTGGTCTCTTTGGCCTTGCTAATCACCGAAGGACGAACACCTGAATGTTCTGTAAAAGGTCGAACGGAAAGTTTTCATTGCCCTCCAGCACAGTCCTGTTACCCAGGAACAAGCAAACATGAATGTAACGACAAACTGGCCCAGGTGAGAATGTATCCAGTGCTTTTTTTTTATCTTTCATATAAACTAGCTTAACATCTATCATCACTTTCATCACAACGTTATATACATCATGACTATCATTTAAAATTTTTTATTAAAAATTGGTCATACGTGGAGCGATGGAGCAGCTGGAGACTTTGGATCCAGAGAGGGAGAGCAACTCTGTGCTGAAGACCTGGGGAGTACGGGGTGGGGGGGGGGGGGGGGGGGGGGGGGGGGGGAAGGACTGCAGGGTATACCCTGTGGTTGGTTGATGATGCATGGAGGGGATTGTAACCATGGCAATGAGACGATATACGATAGAATGAATGTAAAATTAATGTTTCCCATGTAAACTATCACATAATTCACAATAAAACATTAAAGAAAAAAAAAATATTGGTCATAGTCATAAGTAAAAGAAAAATAAAAAACCCTGAACCATAGCTAATCACCTTGGCTCTTAAGGCATTTGGCATGATGTAGCTTTTGTAGATCAGCAGGCATGTAAGCAACTAATTTCATACCTAGCTCTAGATTTGAAATTGCCAATGATGCTTTGATGTAACTTTTGTTTTTTAAAGTTCCAGCCCTGTCTACTTTGTGTTCTTGTTCCATCCTGTAGTTGGAAGAACTTTCCAGCAATTACCTGCCCTCAGAAGAGAAGCTGAATCTCAATCTTTTCTAAAACTGTACTTCTTGTTATTAAGTGCTGTCGAGTCAGTTTTGACTCACAGCAACCCTGTATAGGGTTTCCAAGGAGCAGATGGTGAATTTGAACCTCTATACATTGATATTCATGATTGTTTTCTGTACATTAACACATTTTCCTCCTGTGTTTCTTTCTTTCTTTTTTAATAAGGGCATGCTTTTTGCTATCATTAAAGTCTTGGTTATGGCGCTGTAGGATAAGCACTCTACCACAAGGTCAGTTTGAACTGCAAAGTTGGTGGTTCAAACTCACTAGCCGCTCCTTGGAAACTTTATACAGGGTCACTATGAGTCAGAACAACTCTATGGCACTTAACAATCACAATATGTTTTGTATTATATTGCTAAAACTAATTTTTGGTAGGTTATAAATAATGCACTGGACTGCAAAGTTGTTTGAACCACAAGGTTGGTGTTCAGGCTCACCAGCCACTCCTTGGGAACCCTGTACAGGGTTACTATGGGTCAGATTCTACAGCACTTAACAACAACAACAACAACATAGGTAATTTGCTTGAAAGATTTTCCTTAATTTTCTCAAATGTAATATTTTTTAAATTAATTTTATTTATATTTAACATTTTTTATTGTGAATTGAGTTTTACATTCAACAAATCATATACTTTGCTTCATTACATTGATTGCATTCCCTTCCATGTACCAACAATACTTGCCTGTATTCACTTTTAACATTGCATTTCTCCCTTTGTCTCCCGCTACCTTCATCTTTCCTCTGCTAACCTCCTCCCTCTTGTTGTATATTGCTTGCCTTGTCACCAGTGTTAAACACGTGTCCATGAATAATTTTCCCCCTTGCTGTTCCTTCACTCCCGTAACCATCATGGATTCTTTCTTTTACTAAGAAAACCTTTTCTTAACTTTAGTCACATGTAATATTTGAACTTTTGTGATTCACTAACTTCACTCAGCATAATGTCCTCCAGGTTCATCCATATCATGAGGTGTTTTATAGATTCATCATTATTCTTCAACATTGTATGATATTCCATTGTGTGTATGTACCACAGTTAGTTTAACCATTCTTCTACTGATGGGTATTTAGACTGTCGCTGTCTTTGTGATGAGTCTCTTGTAGACAGTATATTGAATGATCCTGTTTTCTTATCCATTCTACCCTGTCTCTTGGTGCATTAAATCCATTTACATTCAGTGTAATTATTAATAGGTATGAATTGATTGCTGTCATTTTACTGTGTGTGTTTGTGTGGTGCTGCAGATTTATTTGTTCCAGTAAATGTTCTGCACTGAGTTCATTTTATTTGTGCATTTTCTTTTCATTTCTGTGATGTTGTTGTTGTT